CCAAAGAGGAAGAGATGTTTTTTTCGTCCTCTATCTCTTTGGTTATTTTGAGACCAGGGGAGACTTCGGTGAGCGGGTGTCCATGGATGAAATTGGTGGTTCTCGCTAATTCGCATTCTTCACGTGAGATGGAGATGCGCTGGCGTCCTGCTACGGTGCGCCTAGTCCTTATGTAGAGAAAATTGTGTATCGAAACCTTGATTACGTCTCGATAGCATTTGTGTGCAGTCATTTGCAAGGGTCTACTATTTTCGGCAAATAACTGTATGTGTGTTTCAATCATAGGTTCTTCCGTGGTCACGCTACACTGCACTAACTTTGGGAGCGATAGTCTGTTGGGAAATGAACTACTTCCACATATCTGGAAGGAGGTTGCAGGTGTCAGTAAGCATGCTGCTATGATGGCCAGTACGCAGAGGAAGTTAACATTTTGCGCAGGTGCAGGAAGTCGGTTAGGCGGCTGGTAGTTTTGATAATAGGCCGGGGGATTTGCTATGGCCGGGACGTATAATTGATTGGGATTTACATAAGGTATGGGCTGAGTATATGCCGGTTATGGAGTGTAGGGCTGGTCAAAGTATCGGAATGGCGTGCTAGGTAGGCGGCGGTTCCAAAATCGAGGATTTGGAAATATTCTTCTAGGGACGAAACGTAACTGGCGCGGGGGATCGACCCGTAATGCTGGTGTGGGACGATACGGTGCTACTGATCGTCTTTGCTGGAAATTAGGGTTTTGGCGCGGATTAGGTTGAAATCGCACTACCGGGCGAGGGCGTTCTCGTGATGAACTTCTGGGTCGATTGCGGGTGACTCGCTGGAGGTTATTGACCTGTTCGGTCAGTTCCTCCACTTTTTGGTCAAGCACTAGCGAATTTATGCTTTTTAAAATTTCCTTTTCTTCGCGATACTCTTGCTCTAAGATTCTTTGCTCTTTTTCTGCATTAACAAGCGCTGTTTCAAAATCTGGAGGGTCGGGGAGTTTTCGCACGGCCCTACGAATATCGGGTCGCAACCCTTTTATGAAGAAGTCTATGGCGAGTTTATTAGGTATCTTCTTATCTTCGCCTTAATACGCTAATTTGGTTTTTGCTAGGATCTTCTTTGCGAATTTGCCCACTGAATCTTTTCCTTGCCGTAGATGGTGTAATTCATCGCGAACGTTACTCAGCATGGCCTGGTTCTTAAATTTAGTTGCTAGAGCTTTGGTCATTGCTTCCCAGGTTGCTTTTTCTCCGGGTTTCAAACTTTGGTACTTAACTTTAGCTCCGCCTGCTAAGAAAAGGGGTAAGAGACTCTTTGCATACACATGGGGAATGTGTAAATTATCTACTAGCTCCCGATAATCTTCTAGGAACTCCTCGAAGGTTTTGTCGGAGTCGCCGGTAAATCTTTCTAAGCGCGTGCCCAAAAGTTTGCTTGAAGCATAAAGATCGGGTGGATTGTAGCCGACCCTTTCATCGTGAGCTTGCTGGTTTCTTCTATCGCCGTTTCCACCATTACCGCCGTTACCTCCGTTGCCATTACCTCCGCGTCCACCATTATTTCCGTGGTCTTCTTCGGACATGTCAGGTGGTCTTGGATATGTAGAGGGTTGGCCCTTCTTTGCTGATTCAAAAGCTGCGCTTAACCCTTGGAGAAGTCTGGTGAAAGCGCTTTCTGTCTTCTTTTCTTCTTCTTCTAAGCTTTCTGGCTTGGGTGTTGCTGGGGTTGTTGCTGGGGTTACGTAACCAGATACGGTTTGGCTAGTTGAAGGTTGTTCGCTTGCTCCCACTTCGCTAGCTTGGTAGTCGCCAAATTCTTCTTGACTAGTGGACGGTAGGTCGCGCGGGTCTACTGTGCTAGTGGAAGGCTGGTTGCTGGGTTCTACTCTGCCTTTAGAATTGTTGGAGTTTCTTCCGCTTTTCCGGATGATTGCTGTTGTCTACGCTCAGCAAGCCTTGCGAGAAATGCTTCTCTGTTGGCGTTAGACCTTCGGCGCCTTTCTGACCTACTTAGTAATGCTTCACGTACTATGAGCTTCTGTTTCTTGGGAGGAATTTTGGTGATCAGTCAAAATGCTTTCCTAAGTGTCAGTAACTAATGTGCGTCTGTGTATACTTTTTTTCAAGGAGAATTATTCAAAAATTTTTTTTCTTTTCTTGAGAAGTTGGATTGAGAGATTTGCGAGGAATGATTCTCAACATATTTTACAAAAGAGAACGGATGTGACAAAAGTTCTCTTGAAGGCTTTCAGAGAGTTTTTTTCCAAACTTGTGTGGTGGAAGACCCACATTGGTTTTCTATTGAGGAGGTGTGAGGTCCACGCATGTCCCTTGGTTGAATAGGTAGGGTAGTGGTTGAGGTAGCAGAGACGGTGTGTTGGAGCGAATGCTCTGGCAGCTATGGGTAACGGATGCGTTCGCTCAGAGTATATAGTATATGTAAGCGAAAAAAGTCGGAGTCCGGTTTACCGAGTTTTCTCGCTTTGATGCGAACGCGCGTTCCAGTACCTAAGTGTTTTGCGGCTTATGCGAATCAGCGACCTTCGCTTTTGGTCTTACGCCATTGCAATTCTGTACACAATCAGTTTGCGACTAACGTGGATCGGGCCAGTTTGTTTCACGATGTTGCATTGAGTACTTAAAGGCAGCGTCCGGGCAAAACCTCGATTCCATGTTTCTAGCGTTTCTTACTTTTTCGACGCCCCTGAATCTAAATCCGAACCGAGAATTGCTTGAAATCTCCAAAACCCCCGTTTCTGGAACCCTATTTCAATAATCGCGGACGAGTGTTCCGAAATTTATCTGGTGTAGTGACACGTGAAAACATATGTCAAAGGTAGAAACACTGCGTGTAACGACACGTCAAAGGGGCGCGTCAAACATGTAAGCTCGTCTTCGTAGGCGTAAGGGGAGCGGAAGGAGGAATGGGAGCGGCACTTGACCCGCCCACCTGACTTTCAGAATTCACGTTTTCGGGGCGGACTTGCTGTTTTGTCTTAGTTGAGGGGGACCCTGTCGAAATGTGACAGCATCTGAGGTAGGTCAATTTTGCCCGGACGCTGCCTTTAAGAGGTTTTGCCATTGACGCGCATTACACTTCGACGTGTTATGCGATGTGCATGCGATCGCGTGCGATTTGTCTGAAGGACGTGCTCATTTTCAGTTTTTTCTTATATCTTTTCAGGGAGTTTTGGTCAACGCATGTTAGCTTGGTTGCGTAAGCAGTTTTGTAACTGCCTATTTAGTCACCGAAAACTACTTCTAGCGAATGATTGATGAACGTTTCAGCGCGGAGACCGTCAAGGTCAAGAAGCGACATGTAATGAAACTTTCGCTAACGGTATCGGATTACGGTAGCCAAACGACAAATTACGAACACTTCCTTGCTGCTCTAGCCTAGCTACCGAAGCATCCCTCTTTTCGGTAATCGAGGAGGCTTCATAGACGTGGTTAAGCACGTCGTCCCTTTTAGGCAGGCATTGCAATAGCAGAAATGCTTACTGATAGGGACCGATAGTAACGTTATTGTATTGAGCTCGTCCAAATAGGCTCCGGTATGTCCGTTGAAGGCTCGAATATTTCCAAAATGACAGTGAGTTATTCATGGATTCTGCGGGAATCCTATGACATCTATCTTCGTGTATTATATCCATTATCGAAAGACGGAGGATGTTGGATTGCGTCTTTCGCATATCGCGGGGCGATTTTCCATAGTAGCTTTGGCGTTTCATTTTGTATCGTCTTAAGAGCGCTTTGTGGATTTTCGCGATCGAATTGTGAGCGTTCATTTTGAAGCTAAATGTAAGGTTGAGTACTGTTCTGTAAATAGAAGGAAGGATTAGTTACACGACGCGAGAAAGATAGACGTAAAAGGGTGAGATTGTGTGGAGAGGAAGGAGAGGTCGTAATGTCAAGTTTTGAAGAGAGGTGTGCTTTATTATGTAAGCTATAATTATCATGTGTTTAAAATATTCTGCGCTTTATTAATGCGATCACTTGATGATGAGTTAATTTTATACGCAAGGGTGTCGCTAGTTACCTGGCCAGGCTTTTCCTACGCTCATGATAAATGTATATAGGTGGAGCGAAAGCTCCTGTCACATTATTTGTTTCATGTTGGCCTTGCGTTAAAAGGGGCGTAGTTGTGACATGCGCGATGTATATGAAAGTTTGAGTTCTTTTGCTGAGTCTCAGAGATTAGAAAACCCAGTGCGGAACCTCCATGTAATAAAATAAAGATTTATGCTTGTTGGGACGACTTTGTCCAGTAACGCTTATGTATATGACCTCTCTTTTGTTACTCCTTCTCTCTACAGCACACAAGTAATGACTAAGTTTTTATCAGTATATGAACGAGACATAGTGCAAAGGGCAAGGAATGTAAAAGAGGCACGGAAGAGTATACAGGAAATACCGAAAGAGGCACAGAAAACATATTACAGAGAAAACTATTAAAGAGATGAAGAGAACAGACAAAAGGAAAGGGGTAAATGAAGTAAATGATGGGGGTGGGGTTGAAGGCTCACCTCAGCATGATGGTAAGAACGCCAGCCAAAGCTGGCATGCTGTCAAACAAGAGCCAAGAGGGCGGGACTTATGTCTTTTTATACCCTCTTTGTGGGCGGGTAAGATGGAGCGGCCGAACTGCCGATTGGCGCTGTGATAGGTTTTGCCTTTTCCTACAATATGATGTATGACTAACAATGCGATCGTTCTTTGATATATGACACCTTGAGCGTAGTGATCTAATGTGACAAATATTCGTTATTATACGGTACCGTGGGCGTAGTGACAAAAAGAAACACGAGATAAAGAGTAGCCCTTAAGAGAAAACATACAAGGATAAAAGAAATACGGCACTAAAAGCTACTGCGTTAAATATCAGCTCTTGTTTTCTAGATGCGGCTTCAAAACACTTGTTTCAAAATTTCAGATGAGAATTTTACGCTAAATACGGCGCTTTCGTGGATGCTTCTGAGAAGAGGCGCTCAACAAAAAATCTCTTCTCGATGAACCTACCTGTTGCAGGTCCCACTTCTATGTAATCCATTCCAATCCTCATTTCAGGAGTTAAATCATTAGATGACGACGATATACCAAGAAGATAGTGTTTGCCATCCTGTTCGTGAACTAGTGGTCCACCACTGTCTCCCTAAAAGAGAGAATGAACACATCTGTTCACATATAAAACTGAGTGTTGGTAAATTGTTGGCTAACATGCTCTTCTAGAAGTTTTTGTGTGGAGACCAATCAGCGCCAAACTTTGCACGCATATATTAGGTTGTACCGAAAGTTCGTTCGCACCATTTTTAAAATTTCATAACTCTTTAAATTCTCAACGAATTTCTATGATCAATATTCTGCATAAGAGAGGAACTCATGCTCTTTGCACTAGCACCTGAATTATTCGTTAATTTTACAAATGAAGGAGATAGAAGCTAAAAACCAAAATCACTCAAAATTTGAATTTTTCGTGTAGGGTCATAAAAAAATCGGAGACTCGCAACAAAAATTGGTGCAGTCGGCATTGTAGGTTCTTTCACCAGCTCTTTCTAACAGTGCAAGGTTTGCGCCGATGGAGGATCTCTACGAAAAGTTATGATTTCCCTGGAAAATGCCAAAGTAAATCAAATTCGCCCTTTTGTATTGTTTGCTCGAGGGTGGAGGACATTAGGTTGCCGAATTTGGAAGAGTCCCGCGAGGATTCCCTGCAGGAACGCATTTCCGCGTATGTACAAGGGTGCTATTTGTCGCAAATGACCGCCGGGACCGCCCTCTTTCGGCGACCTAATGTCCTCCACCCTTTGCTCGAAAATCGTAACTTTTCATAGAGACGCTTAATCGGCGCAAACTTTGCATTGTTGGAAAGAGCTGGTAAAAGAACCCACAATGCCGACTGCATCGATTTTTGTTGCAAGTCTCCGATTTTTTATGACCCTACATGAAAAATCCAAATTTTGAGTTATTTCGATTTTGAGCTTCTATCTCATTCATTTGTAAATATTAACGAACAATTCGGGTACGGATGCAAAGAGCATGAGTTCCTCTTTTACGCAGAATTTTGTTCGTACAAATTTGTTAAGAATTTAAAGAGTTATGAATTTTTGGAAATGGTGCGAACGAACTTTCGGTACAACCTAATATTTTCGACACCGGTCCACCGATGTCGAAAATAGGCTGCTTTTCGCAGCGAATTACCTCTCCTTCTATTAATTCATCGATTTTCAAGTAGAATGAACTCTTATCATTCGTTATCAAGCTTCCAATTTTCGTGTAAACGATAGCGGTAGAACTCAATCTCATTCAACGATGAAGGAGATGCGGATTCAAGGCGATGCGGTCAGGAAGTATCTGCGTTGTGCTACAAGAATAGCAGAAGGCCGAAACGCGGATAAGTTGAAGCCTTCAGAATTGCGCACCAGTCTCTTCGTTGACCCAGTGAAATCCACGGTGCGGCCGAAGCCGGACATGGCACCTAGTTTACTCGTGAATTTCACCTTATTTACGAGTCTACCTTTTTTGGGGCAGAGGCAGAGGTGCGATGGGGGGAGCCGGGCCCACCAAAAGTGAAAGTGGTTCCAGCTACCACTGGCCGGCCAAAAGTGAAGGTGGTAGTGTCGGACACTCACCTCCTAAAAAAGTCGACGGGGGGGGGGGGGGGGGGTAGAACGGACGAACAGAGCTATCTTTCTAGGTCGAACTGTGACCCAACGGCCCTCTTTAGGGCCACAGATAAGATGAATATCAAAAACATTTACAAAATTTTATTTATAAAAATTTGAAATAGACGTGTTTATTAAATGGTGTATTTGAAAGTAAAAGTTTGTTGGATTGTACGGATTTTATTAAGTAAATTTTGTCATAACATACTGCGAAGAAAGTAGGTCGGTCTAGGCAGTAACGGCCGAGAACCTGAATTTTGGATATTTAAATAGTGAAAAATCATGCGAAATTTCCACTGTTATAAATCTGTTGTTTGAAGATGTCAGCAGTTGCGACTTCATAGGTTTTGAAGGGTATATGGTGCTCTATCAGATAGTGAAAGAATCGAGTGGATTTGAGAGATAGTCGTTGAAAACCAGAATACTAAATATTTACGCCATTTTTGCGTGTTTTTTGACAGTTGATAGTTAAACTCATCTAAATCTTGCAGTGAAAGTGTGTGATGTTGCGACTTCATAGGTTTTATAGAGTAAGGTTTGCCTTATCAGGATATGTCTTAGCCGTTCCGATCCACTAAAATACCTCCGAGATCCAGAGTCCTGAAAAAGCAGGTAAAAAAGCGCTTCTTGAATTTCAACAGCTCATAACTTCTTCAGAACTGTGTGAATCACGTTGCGACTTAGATTCCTCTCATCAAGAGCTTTCAGATGATATATAATGTGGGGGGTTTAAGGCTCCTACGAATTATGCTCATCGGGAGAGCCTTTTCATACCAAAGTCTCACCCTAGCCCACTTTGATGTATTGGAGAGTGGAGACTTTGGCATGAAAAGGCTCCCCCCACGGGCATAATTCGTAGGAGGCTTTAAACTCCCACATATTACATATCATCTGAAAGCTCTTGATGAGAGGAATCTAACCTATAAAGTCCCAACGTGATTAATGCAGTTATGAAGAAGTTATGAGCTGTTGAATTTCAAAAAGCGCTTTTTTTACCTGTTTTTTCAAGACTCTGGATCTCGGTACTGTTTCACTGAATCGGTACGACTAAGATATATTCAGATAAGGCAAACCTTACTCTACAAAACCTATGAAGTCGCAACATCACACACTTTCACTGCAAGATTTAGATGAGCTTAACTATCAACTGTCAAAAAACACGCAAAAATGGCGTAAATATTTAGTATTCTGGTTTTCAACGACTCTCTTCCATCTACTCGATTCCTTCACTATCTGATAGAGCACCATATACCCTTCAAAACCTATGAAGTCGCAACTGCTGACATCTTCAAACAACAGATTTATAACACTGGAAATTTTGCATGATTTTTCACTATTTAATTATTTAAAATTCTGGTTCTCGGCCGTTACTGCCTGGATCGATCTACTTTCTTCGCTGTACTTTATAACAAAATTTGCTTAATAAAATCCGTACAGTTTCGCTAAGTTTTACTTCCAAATACACCATTTACTGAGCACGTTTATTTTAAATATATATGCCGCCGTATACATAAATATATGCTTTCAATAATATTTTTGCTTTGTTTTGCTTATTTTCCTTCTTTATCGTCCAGCGAAAAATTTTTTATTCTAAGGGTGAAGGTGGTCACCCTGGACCAGCTCGAGGGTGAAGGTAGGGGGAGAATCGGCTCCCACTACCGCACCTCTGGGCAGAGGATATGCCACCGAGAGTAAGGGCGTCCCGCGTGGACTTCTTGCAAAAACGCATTTCCGTGCATGCGCGACGGCGCATAGATGTTGCAAATGACCGCGCGGGCGGCCCCCTTAAAGCGACGTATAGTCCCTTACCCCGTTTTCGTGACAGGTTATTTAACAAATGCAAAAATTCCTAATTATTCCAGGGATAAAATCTATCTTTCTGCTTTTTCTTTTCACATTGCTCAAAATGTGGAAGGTACGCATATTGCCTAGCTTACACCAATAATGGCTTCATTCTTATACTCAGTGTAGGCCACGATAGCGTTATTCTCAGGTTCTTCGGATGTTTTGACGAAAGTCACGGCTTGTATGGAATCATCACCTTCTGAAACAGTAAACTGAGCAACAATTAGAACAACAAATTGATGCAATCATCCTTCCATCAGCACCTGCAAAGCTGGAACCGGAAAGTAAAACGCTTGCTTGGTTTCATGTCGGAAATTTAATTCATTTGTTACCCCATTTTCATGTGTACAAGGCGTACCCATATCACTCTTGAAGGCAGCGTCCAAGCAAATCTGGACGTATGGGAATTTTACGTGGAGAGTAATTTTGGGGCCCCGGGTGTGTGCCAAGATGAACAATAGCTGGAAATAAGCATACTATGCTTCTCCGGCTGTCAATATACCGCGCATGAAGTTTTATTTTTTGAAGCAATCTGTTCTTTACTGGATTGAGAATGGCGTCGAAAATAAAGACTTGGGCCCGCTAAGCTCCCATCGTTTTTTTTTCAAATTTCTAAATGTCACCATAGTGTGAATATAGGATCTGAAAAATACTTGACTTACGCAATGCATATGGCTGGTACAAGCTACCGTTCATTTTGGCTGCCTCCTGGGGCCTCAATTAAGGCACTGCCCAAGCGACAGCGCAGGCGGCTCACCAGTGGCCACGCTAGACCCCAGATCGTATTTCGCATGGAATGGCTAACCCATCACAGATCCACGCGAAAGTGAAGGGTTGCGTCATGAAATCCATGTGATATACGATTCGGAATCCAGTTTCGACGGGAATATGTCAGCCGTTAGGGCATTACTTGAGGTGCTGTTGGGCAGTGTTGGTCAGGGCCCCAAAATTACTTTCCACGTAAAGTCCCCATAGGTTCAAATTTGCCTGGACGCTGCCTCTAAGGCAAACACGCCAAACGAATCCGCTGCCATGGGCGCCTTATCTGTGTGAATAGTGGGGAAGAGTGGCCATGTCACGAGGCACACGCGCAGCGCACATTTTTGCTCTCGTTCAAAGCAAATTGTGAGCGACTTTTACACTGAAAGTGAGTACCTGTTTCACCAGATGGCACAATCTTGGCGCGTTTGGTAAATTTGCCGCCATCTTCTTAGGCTCTAGACAGGTCACCATGATACTATGTACTCACCATAATTTCCATGCCCAATAGATTTGACCTTTTGAGGAACAGCATCGTTTTTTTGGGGCATACAAATTGGTTTAGAATCTGCATTCTGCTGAAGCTCTATTACAGCAATGTCATAAGAAGTGGAATTCCTGCATGCTTCGTTTACGTTCTTATACTCTTGAGGCACATGTACCTGAGCAAACAGCGTGTTTAGTAATATTCAGTAGCAGACGAATTCAAAATTTGGAATTAATCAACAGCACTTACAGATGCCACTTTACGAACTCGTTGACCCCTCCAGCACCTAAAGTAGTTGCAGCTTTGGAGAAACACCAACGTTCTGGGCGGTTCTTTCTTGTATACGTAATCTAGGAGAAGTTTTCTAGATAACGACAATAAGGATCGAGTAATACCCTTGTTTACACGCGTTTGTCTGCTCAACGGTTAAGCAATGTGCGGCAGTTAGAATGTGGCGAGGAGATATCAGCACGCCGCTGCAGAAAGGTGAAGTGAAAGATTTAACAACATGTTCTCGGCGAATGTAATCATATCTGGTTCCTGCAAAACACTGAAAATTAATTTGTTCATGATCTGCAAGTTTTGGGCAGCAATGCTATGTCATTCACTAACCTGTAATCTTGGACAATGCAACCGCAAATGGATAATTCGATTGGGCGACTGGTAATCGTTTATATTTGTTGGGTTGCACTAAATTAGAGGCTAATATCGTTACTGCAACTACTCAATACGGAAAATCAAAGGGATGTCTAGAGTGAAAGTAGTTCTACCCAAAGAATCCAATCCCCTCCTTGGTAGGTCGCCAAATACGTTAGATAGGTGTCAAGAAAGAAATCCCACCTTTTCACAGCTATAGAAATATATGCAAGGTATCTCATCTATCATGTGATTTACTGAAACCACTAAAGGCTGTAATCTTTTTCTGATAGGCAAGAAATAGTGCACTTCACTTTGTATATCTGAGCGTAATAGGATTTTCATTATTTATTAACAGCATCTATCTACAAGATTATCCCAAATTGGCGTTGCTTTGTATTTTCCACGATACGACATCTCCAGAATCAACTTTACTTACTACCCACTCAAAATCTTGTACTCAATCGAGTGTAAGATTACACACCAATAAGTGCAGAAAAAGAGTTTCTCATGGAGTACAGCTGAAGAAACTAATTTGCTCACTATTGAGTTCGGATTTGCCAAGCAAAATTCAAGACACTATTTTTTGGTTACCTGTCCCCTTGCCATTGCACCTTTCCTTCAGCTTCGAATTCTCTTCCGGGGTAATTTTTCCCGCGTAAACTGCTTGAAGCAGAAAAAGCAACCAGAGTATGGTCATTCAATAGTTTCACATTCCAATGATTGCGCCTTGAGCAATATAAAAATAAATCAAAAGTTTACTCTCTTGGCTAACGTAAGAGGAGATTATTGCAGGAATCCTTCACTTGAAGTGATTTACTTACAAATTAAGCTTTGGGTCTTGTCTATTTCTTACCAGTCTCCTCTAGAGGAGACGTAAGAAATTAAGTTGCTGCTGATGCCATTTACTCATGATTCCCTTTGCCTAATCAATCAATTTCTGTTCCGATTAATGCCACGCTATACCTGATCAAGTAGAGGAACAGTAGGTGAATGTTATGTTGCCATCTATACCATGTTATATATACAAACAGGTCATCTCATGCCGCGCAAGGAGCAATAGTCCGATTGGGCGGCGCCTATTGTTCGTTCTTCCACTCTATCTGGTCTGAATAAGTAGAGCAAACAGCCAGATATTCTTTGTACTGCTATGAACTACAAAAAGAGTAGAATGAGTAGGCAGCAGACTTTCCAACATCTTATTACTACAAAAGAAATCATTTATCTACATCAAATAGTACCCATTGATTTTTTTTTTGTTTTGCAGAAAATATTAGCTAGAGACACAGCATTTACTCCAAAAGTGAGAGGCCATAATTATGGAAGGCAAAAGAGAGCTTAAACGAGCTTGAAATGAGGTCATGGAAGTGACGGCCATGTAAGATACTGTCTGGCTTTTATACGGCTTTTTTTGACTCATTTTTAATAATGTTCCCCCTTTTCGCTTCCTAGAAATACCAAAAGCAGTGTTCCACAGTTTAGTCATCAAACAAAACTTTCGCTAGCTATCTTAGCTATTCAGATGTAATCATATGGCCATATTTCGGCATTCTCTCATTGTCTGATCTCATCAGAATTCTTCAGTATATGCATTGAATCATGAGCTGCAAAAACATCTGATGAAGGACTAATCACACCAAGATGTTCATCTTTTCTCGCACGACGCTTTATTACATTCGTCATCTTCTTCATGATATCATTGCTTGAAATTCTGCATCATTGTAATACAGTGCCTTTCTTGTGTTTCTACCACTTGGAACATCAATATTTTGAGATCTGAGGTGCTTGCGCCTGAATACTACCTGGACACAACTTTTGAGCCTAGTATTTAGGGATCAAATAGCTCAACAGGGAACGTTTCCAACCTTAACGTTCAGCGAAATTTCAGGCTTTGAATACGATAGAATTGAATCTTCAGGTCATTAATACCCAGCTGACTGAAGCTTCTAACGAGGGAGGTCATTTAGTCGAAGCGGCGGCCTCCTCAAATGCGTCCTATACTGCTTTTCGTTATCTGCCAAGCACCTCAGGACCCCGCATAGTAAATGTCTTCTCGAGCAAGAAATGAACGCAGATTCTAGATAAAATTAAGCGTTGCGATCTTTTCAGCGCTCAAGAAGAGCAGGTTGAGCACGTGTTAGACTGAAGTAGCCTATCGAATGAGTGCTCTGATAGTTGTAAGCAAGCTATTCTCCAGGCTTCGCTGCATGACTAACGTCCCAAAAAGAAGGTTGCTGTGTCGCAGCCTTGTAAGCACACCGTCTTCATTTGAAGCGAAGAATCGGAACGGCTTCGAGAAACAATCGCAGGTAGTCATTCTTGCTGATTGCAAGTCTATGATGGATTGACTATCAATAAATGAGCAACTCACAGGATCTAACGACTCACTAAGTAAAATCCTTTCACTGCTCAACATCCCTTCTATAAGATATCTTGAACGGCCAACAAAAGTTAGGAGTCGGTGCGACATAACAACGGGTGACAAAATCAAAAACAACACATCTCATCATGAAAAATTCCGACCGCAAATATAACTACACAAAGTAAATGCGGCATGGAGTTTTTCATAGCATGAGTGGTTAAAAGCAGTCAGTCTGACATAAGGCTATAGGAGTACTGAAAACCAAAAAATTGGCAGCACTCGTAGAAACTTTGAGGCCCAGATTCAATCTTGTTACCCTTCGGTTAGCCCCTCCACTGGACCGCACCAAAACCTCGTCACAGCCAAATTTGAGGGAAAGGCGCACTGCTTTCAAGAGCCCTGTCTCGACATAGTTGTTTTTCTTGACGATTACAATCGAGTAACAGCTTGTTAGTTGAATTTTTGACACCAATCTAATTATATACGCGGCAAAAAATTTGATCCTTCTTGCAAACTTCACACTGGACCACCTTGCCTCACAATTCTCACATAACTGAGGGAGAGCGTATGCAACGGCTGCGTTTCTGCATTTCTTTGTCCTGTTCGTACTCATCCACAATTCATCTGGTAGTCCTCAAGTTAAATTAATTTTTGTTTTTCTAAGCGATGTAAACAGCTATTCGTGGAAACGTCCCTCCAGGGAGGCTTTCAAGAAGCTCATTTTGCTTTTCTCACCCCCTTCAATATGTTCAAAACAGATGCAAATGCGAAGGGAACGAAAATCAAAAGAATTTAGCTCTTATGTTGAACTGGTTGGCTTTCCCGGTCCAGCCCGGGCCATTGTTCACCTACACTGCGAGCCCCCCCCCTCTTATTTGCTACTTGGCTTTCCCGATCCAGCCCGGGTCATTGGTCACCTGCACTGCAAGTCCCCTCCCCCCTTCTTATATTTGTGGATGACTTACCCTGGAAACCGCTTCGAAACCGCATCCTTGTGATCCTAAGGTGAAAATGAGCTTCACCGCCCTCCTTTACAGACTATGGTAAAATGCTTGATTAAACATGATAAGCCCTCAATTCCTTAAAAAACGTAAACAAATCAATAAATCGATAGAAGGACCCAACGAATTGCTGCGAAAAGTAGCCTATCATCTGCGCAGGGGTCGAAAACATATGTGTGCAAAGTTTCAGCTGAATCGGTTGAGCGGTGCGCGTTTCTATAACGCACATACCCTCCAAACTGACAATTTTTGAGTTATATATATATACCAGTGCGTCACCTCTGCTTCGCAGAGGCTCGCACTGGCTCTTCTATCTATATGTCATACTCATTCCCGCATAACATGGCATTGAAACATACCGCGCAATGCCTGCCTACACGAATGATTCGTAAACATCTACTCGTTCCTTAAGCTTTTTCGTGTGAGCTAGGTATTTTGCGTGGATGAAACTTTGGAAGATGAAGAACAAATGCAAATTTGAACAGGTTTTGAAGCTTTTTTGGCTTGGTAGTCGCCATGTGGACAATAGTTATCGTGAGCTACATCTCTATGCAAAAATCTTCTCAGATGCTCAGGCAAAACCACGGCGGATTGACCATTTATGCAACCATTTGTTTTTGGCGTCGTTATCGTAAAGTAGCAAACCTTTGGTCACTTTTTGGTCTAAAGTCCATGGCTTATACATCAATCTGCTAAACACATCCACGGCTTTGCAAAAAGCGTTGATACGGACCCAATTTTTGCAGGACAGAAGCCAAGTGGATCCGTTTGACGCGCAAATTCTGAGGGACTCACTCAACGAATCAGTTCGTGCTTTTGCATGCTGGAGTTCTACGTCGGTAGTATGCGCTATGTAAAATTTGGGCTCGGGATGGTGGCTGGAACCCGCTGTATGAATTTCGTTACAGACAGACAGACAGACAGACACACACACACACAAAGTCACGTAAACACCCTTAGCCCGTTATTATAAGTTATGATATATATATATATATATATGGATGATAAGTGTTGGAAAAATGGCATTTTTCAAAAGTTCAATATTAGATAACTTATTGTAAACTACTGTCTAAAATAAATTAGCTGATTTACCTGAATTATCGTACTGTGCTCAACTACAATCTTCTGTGGATTGCTGCTGAATATCTCTGCTCCGTTAAAGGCAGCGTCCAGGCAGATCTGGACCTATGGGGCTTTTACGTGGAAAGTACTTTTGGGGCCCTAACTAAGGTACTGCTCAAGCGGCAGCTCAGGTAGTGCTGTAATAGCTGAGATATTTCCCTCGAAACTGGACCCCGTGACCGTGTTTCGCATGGATTCATGGCGCAAAGCGTGGATCCTAGCGCGAAACTGCCATGAATCCATGCGAATACGTTCGCGGGGGCCAGTTTCGAGGGGAATACCTCAGCCATTAGAGCACTACGTGAGCTGCCGCTTGGGCACTGCCTTAGTTAGGGCCCCAAAAGTACTTTCCACGTAAAAGCCCCATAGGTCCGAATCTGCCTGGACGCTGCCTTTAAAGTGGAGAAAATTTGCTTCAGTTGTCGCTCCTCGATAAATAATGAGAAAGTTAAACAGCTAGTAAGCAATGGCGTTTAGATCTTCACTTGCACAATATCAAATGAACTTCTACGTTTAGCAGTTGGTTTGCCATACATTTTTTCCGTACATTCAACAGCGTTCAACAACTCGTCGACTTGAAACTGTGCGTCTGTGCGTTTGAGATCTGTTCATGGTAGATAAACAACTATCAAGCCTCCAGCGATAGCGTTTCATCACAGAGGATTTCACGATTACTGTATATATACTATGAGATACGAAAAAAATCCCGCAACGCATGAGGACTAAGTCGCTAACTAGAATATCAAACATAAGAAACTCCTGCGTACCGTACCCATGCAATTAGTAATCTTTTAAAACGGCTGCTTTGGAAGTGATTGAGTTAGCTTTCACCAGGGAAGGATCCTTGGTCAAAGTGGCCTTGTCAGATGTGATGGATATATTTTTGAAGGGCATCGGACTCTGATTCCAAGTCTGTTTTCCCTCCTCCCCATTGCGGAGCGCCTTTAGGCAAGTAGTTATATAAGTTTTTGGGGGAAATCTGAAGGCGTGGGAAGAATTCATTATGGGTGTTCCCCGTGAGCTTGAATAGAGCAACGTTGTCTGTTAAATCACTCTCATGAAAAGGTAATTTCTGTCGGCTATACCCGTACTCAGCACTAGCCTATCTGTGAGTTTTACAGGAGTTACAGTCAATTTTACTCTCGCCGCACCTTCAAATTTCTGCTCTCAAAACGCTCTTGTGCCAAAGTGCTCCGCAGATAAGGAAGACAG